AACACTGACGGCAAGAAGGGCCTAACGTTTCCCCAAAATGTTCAAAAATTTTCCTCGGCTCATTTCCTTAGCTAAATGAAAGAAAATAAAATGCGAAATGGAATGAAGACAACTTACACTCTTCGAGACCAACTTGATAGGCAAGATTTTGCAACTGTTTGATTTTATCCATTAGTTGTTGGGTGGACAAACTGCCAAAATCTAAAAAATCTCAAACCATCAAAATTTTCAATACCATGAATAAGTTCAAGGTCTTCCTTATCTAAATCTGTGGTGTACTTGGCAGGCGTCTGAATATTCAAATCAGGCTGACGGGTTGAAATGAATTCTGAAACACCTGGGATATTACGAAAGTAAAGGATAAAAGGATGAAAAATACTTTGTTCAGGCCAAAGTTCCGGTGAAGCTCTGTCTAGACTTTCACTGCTGATTAGTGCTTGATCGTCCATGTCCTGCGAAAAAGACCAGTAAAATTGGCTAGGGTGGGAGCTAAAAATAAAAAATAACTTAAAATAGTGAAAAGCAGTCGTCGATTCCGCGTGATATCATTCAAGGGGCTGGTTCTCACAGATGGCAAAGGAGTATTTTATAATACCAAGTGCCAGCCAGTTGTCGACTAAAAAAGCGCAACATTCTAGTGAGCTAAGAAAGATAGTAAAACGTAGGCGGCCTATGATTTTAGACTAATATTATATATTTATTCGGTCCTTTTGGCACAGCCCTTGGACCTTTGAACCGAAACCGATAGCATATAAAAGTAGTAAATTGAACCGTTAAAGATCTGATTTTTTCCGTCAGACAAGGGAATTGAACCAACACAAACAATACAGGCTATTGTAGTCCTATATAGGACTACGTGTACATGTACATTCTGGATATGTTTGCGGCTGCGATGGGCCGTTCTGTTCGATGGAATGAACAGAACGGCCCATCGCAGCCGCAAACATATCCGGAATGTACATGGCAATTGTCAGGGCGGGTACATCACACGGTTCTGGGAAAATTCACACAAACTTTAACCGGGTGGAGCAAATATGGTGGTTCTTGTGATGTTCAGAACCTTCAATGTAAAGAATAACATCTCCTCCATATATAACCATCAAACGGTATGCTATTCAAACAAACTTATAACCAGACTCTTGGGAGGATTTTGAGTAAGCCAAATGTTCATATATTAGGGGAGGAAAATGTGTCACTGGTGAAACTCCATTAAAACCAAACGAGCATCTGGATGTCTATTCCTGCAGATTTTTAAAAGGAAGACAGGTGAAGCAACGGAAATCGGTAGACAAGTTTCACGGACAAGACTAAAAGACATAATTTACTGCATTAAAAAAACGCAACGAGCAGGAAGAGTTGACGTTCGATTTCAAATTGACAAGAACAGTGACAATTAAGCACATGCGATTTATGTTGCAGAAGCCTACAAAATAAGTAAGCTAGATTTCTTTAAATTTTTAGGAGGCCTACACGTACAAAGCAAATATGGTTTATCCAACGAAGTCAACAAGTAAACTATGGACAGAAACGACCAAAGCTGACAATTTACACTCAAGTTCGGTTCACTTAAGGCCCGAGTCGAGCTAGACTTCTTCGAATTGTGCGCAGGGTTCGTGTGATTTCTCAAGTAGCCTGTTTCACTAATTACTAAAAATGTTGAGTGCTACCTGTCGATTTCATGCATACGGATGAGACTCGAATAAGCCACGAGGTTGTTTCCGGACACTATACGTGCAAATATGATAGGAAAATAGGGCAGGCTCTTTAATAAATACCCCGTATAGTATCTTATGCGTTGCCAAGACACATGCATAATTATCTGCACTGCAGTATGTGCATTCCAATGTAAAAAAGTGAGATAATTGAGTCTGAATGTAGACACTGCAGCATCACAGATTGGGCTTAGAGAACGCCAGCACAAACGGTGTGTCGGGAAAAGGGTCGAGTCCTAACTTGAAACTCTGAATTTTTAAGGGCTTTATGTGTATCATCCTAGTAGTCTGGAGGAAATTACGCTTGTCAGAAACCACTATTCCCAAATCTACAGCTCCAGTTATCAATCGGGGTGATTTCACTTACAATAGATAAAAGCGAACAAAACTTTGTTTTAATTAAACTTCTTAAAAGGAATTTTGAATCCTTTCGATCGACCGCTCGGTCCCAGTAATAAATGTAAATACTGGCAGCCCTGCAGTGAAACATGGCCTCATGTTGGAAGCAATTGTGTTCCGAAAGACGATATAACTAATTGACTAATCCATAACAATTTTAACCTAGATAAAAAAAGCAACTGCCTGCGCGGAACCTTTCGCACATCCGCTGCGACCGGAAAAATCTTGCTGATTCACGAAGGTATACCACCGATTTTGAAGGATGTCCTGATGTTATGAAATATAATCATGAGGATTACTGGACCATGCTTGCAAGAAGTCGCAGCCACTTTTTCATTGGTAAATGTATAACCATGGCCTGAGGTCTACCGCTATCCATTCTTAAGCGTATGTTGAAAATATTAACAGTCTGGCTAGGATTGGGCGAGAAAACTGATGGGGACAGAGTTTGAGGACCATGCACCTGGACTTTCACTTGAACTTGAGAACGAACAGTTGCGCAAATCCCTGCCGATGAAAGAATAGGCTTATCAAGTGGACCACCTGTTTGAGGTTAAACGTTTTTGTAAACCGTTAAGTGATTTACCCAACAGTCACATGGACGGTTACCAAATTGTCTTACATTTGCAACTGAACCTAATGTAATTGTGAGCAAGCAAGTGCTGCATACAGGATAGACATTCGTTATATTCAGGTCTGGCAGTTTTAACTAGTTCACTACTTCACCAAAGTTATTTACATAGGAACAGAACTGCGACTTGTTTTGCCATTCTAATGTAACGACAAAAACTGTAGATCCCTGGGTTTAACAGAATTTCGGCGGCGGCTCTCACTGTCTTGCTTGTCACTTCGTGAAAAGAGGTTCCTAGTAAGAAAATGTCAATGTTAAGCCCGCATACGCTCCGCACTTTCGTGCCAGGAAAATACCCATATCCTGAGTGGCTGAGATACTCACGTGATTGAGTGATTGTAAGGACTGTGGATCAGAGCCATAACTGTGAGTGGTCTACGGCTGAATGACAGAAATCGGACTTTGGCTGTGCGTGCGTGCGTGCGTGCGTACACGAAGGCATTCGCGTGACGCTGTCCACAGCTGCGCGCACGGAGGTCAGATAAAAGGAAGTCTCGAGTCTTTCAGACGTTGCAACATTTTGGAAGACAATGAGTCAATGGGTCCAACCTCATTAAGTGCGGCTTTGAACGCAGTGTCAGCTCACGTTTTGGTGGTTCGGATGTCTGACGTGCTTTCGTTGTATTTTAATTTGTGTTTAGCTGTTTACATGTTTCCAAAGTAAGGTTTTGGAAGACTAGCACGCGAAAAGTCAAGATGAGACATCGGTAATGGATAGTGAAAAGTGAAAGGCTATCTCAGTGTCATCTGATTCTTCATATTCGGCATCGAGTTCAGATTACACGACGGAAAAACACGAGTCAGAATTGCACAATTTTACGGAGTGTTTCGGTGATTTCAGTGCGCAAGGCTCCCAAGTTTTTAGTGTAAACAGAGTCAATACAGTGGTTGAGGATTAAAGGCCGAAGGTGGGGAGGTTGGTGTCTATATATGTGCACCACACTTTTACCTGAAGACCTTGCTATCCCCATTTAATGTGCTTTCGAATGGTATGCATTTAGATCAGAGAACGCTGTTTGTTAGAACTGTTGATTTATTCGTTTTGCAGCTCGAATAACTGTTAGTACTGGTTGAACAGCTTCTCGA